TATGTTAATACAGTACTATTAATTTACTTACAAATGTATTTATTCTGCTTTAGGATTGCTCAGTTTTCAGGGTGTACAGTCCCGATTGTTCTGAGCCGTGACTGGATGTGCTCTGCCCACCCATTCTTTTCCACAGTGACCCTTGTTTTGGCAACTGTCTCCTTTTCCTCAGCTCACTTATCACTGCTTGTTTGCAAGAGCCTGCCTATAACCGCACAGGCCTGGAGCTTATACATTAGCTTCCAAATAGGGATAGCATAGTAGCCCTCTCTTTGTAATGCGAGTTAGGCCACTAGGGTGTATGAAGCTGGTGCCCTACAGACCTGCCACTGTCCTGCTGTCGGAACCGCCCTGACACTGTCCTTTAGCTTGTTTGGCCACAAGAAGAGAACCCGAGGGGGGAGAGAAGGAGGAGCCAGACGTTTAATCCTGGAGGACCCTTAGGGACTAAGCATTGACAGTGAGTACTGGTGAGGATTCCTGGCTTTTCTATTCTTTTATTTAAAAGAGAAAATTACAAGAGAAGGGAGAAAGAGGTGGGCAGCTCTGACGGCTGTGTAGCTGCATATTCACCTACCAGTTTGGTAGAACACTTTCCTGATTTAAATGTGTCTTTTTCAAATAGAATGTATTCAGCGAATGTCAGGTTTTGACTTAAAACTTGTGGATTGGCAGGGAGAGAGCAGAACCAGTCCTTGTTAGGAAGAAATCCATGGTGTGTTTCTTCTGTTTCTATAAAATGATATTGAATAAACAGAGTGTAGTTGGAAAAGCTTTTTCACAGACTAAAAAATAGGAAAAGCTTTAAAATGTTTACTGCTTTCACCTTTTGCACTTTAAATGTGGGCTATTCTTTGGATTTGTGGAAAGGAAAGGATTTGACCTATGTTATTTTTAACAGCAGCTGGGATAAAGGTGGTATTATGTCTAATACTGGAAAGGTAGCCACAGATAAGCATTTGGAGGGGGTGGGGCAGCAATGGAGGTCATTGGGTTCCAAAAAGCTGGCTGATCGCTCCTCTCACACGGCTTTGGAGCCAGACTTGTAACTGAGTAGGTTCTTCTATGCACTTGAGTCAACACTGTCATTTGCATCTTCAGGAGTTGTCTACTGGCTTTTTCTCCTTTTTAAATTTCTCTGTGACTAGATAGGAATTTTATTGTAAGATATCTGGTAAAAGAAGAATACAAAACTTATGGAGTGTTTAGAAGAATGTACAGCCTTGTGCTGAATTTCCTACTATTTGTTTGCATTCAAATGGAATAATTAATTTTATGGGAAAACAAGTTTGAATAGTCATGATAAGTACAGGAAAGATATGTACAAAGATGTTATTATAAGGCTTCACAGTGTGAAGCAGTTTTCCTTTAAAATATAAACAAGTTATCTTTTAAATCAGATGTAACTTTGTGAGAATCAGAAATAGAGGTTGTTTATCTGAGGGTGGCCATTTAAATGTGAACTACTAGAAGTGACAATTAAATGTTTATAGTGATTATTTTCCATGAAAATGGGCAATTAATCAAATTTATGCCACTTCCCAGGTTTGCTATGCTATTATGACACATATGGTACTCCTTTCCCAGTGGCAAAGCTATATGTTAGGGAAAGTAGGTACACAGAAGCTAAAATAAAACTTGAATAACGTGCATTGTCTTACTTCTCTGGGTTAAGAAATTCTCTTGTTTATAGTCTGATCAGTTAAATATAGAAACATCACGTCCAGGTTATAATGCAGGTAAATTTTGTATTGGCAGCTTGAATGTAAGTTTTCCTTGCCTTTTACTCATATGTGATACACACCTACCAAGTTTTGTGTAATGTTTTTATTTTATTCTTTTACATATATAACCACGTTGTCTGTGTTGTCAGTCTTAAATTGCAAACTCTCAGAGGGGATAATCTCCTGTATTTGTTCCCCTGGAAAGAATTAGCAACACATACTGTATAAATAATGACTTACAAAATGTGTTTGCCTGGTAATAATTTATTTCTTTCCATTAGGACAAATCTATTGATGGTCTTCATGTGCTTTGGTAAAATGGAAGGTCATCATTTAGGATCTGCATAGCTCTCAGTATGGACAGGATATTTCCAATAGTTTTGAATCTCTGGATAAGTAAATCACAGATTTTTAGGGACAGTGGGATCTTACTGATCATGTAGGCCAATTTTGCTATTTTACAGATGAGGAAACTGAGACCTAGAGACGTGGAGCATCTTGCCCCAATTCCCACAAAACTGTGCTGTGCTTGTTTGGTGCATAGCCTGATGGTATTTATAGAAATGTATGTTGGGACATAAATTGCATGAGCCACTTCTTTGGTATATTCTTTAGTTTACAGTATGATGTACATTCCAGGGAAGGCACAGCCTTGATTTAGGAGTTTCAGAGAGAATGCAGTGACCAGGCATCATTTTTCAGCTGTGCAGGGCTGATGGGCAGAGGTCTAGGCGTGAGTGGGTGCAGGTGTAGCTCAGAGAGTTCATTGTACACTGCCCTGGTGTTTGGTTTTCTCATTTGGATGAGTCTGGTTTCTTAGAAAAGGGAACCATGGAGACATCAGTGTCCTTGTCCTTACTTACCACCAGGTCTATGACCTGCACTAGAAACTTTTATTAACCTTTGTTTATCAAATTCCTTTTCTGAGGTTGTGATTCTAAACAGATTCCCCAGAGGGTAGGAATTGATTAAAAATCTAAAAGTGCCTCTGGCTGGTAAGGCTCAGTGGATCGAGTGCCAGCTTGCAAAACAAAGGGTTCGATTCCCCGTCTAAGGCGTGTGCTTGGATTGCAGGCCAGGTCCCCAGTAGGGTGCACATGAGAGGCAACCACACATTGATGTTTCTCTCCCTCTCTTTCTCCCTCCCTTCCCTTCTCTAGAAATAAAAAATAAAATCTTTAAAAAAAAGTTAAAAAAATTTAAAAGTGTTTTGGGAAATCAGAGTCAGAGCCTGTCTGAGGCTATGGTATGGTTTATTAAGAAGTAGTATGGCACTAAATGGTAACAGAAAATAATACTTTAAAAAACAATAGAAAATATTAATTTAAAAAAAGAAGTAGTAAGGCAGTTTACTCTTCCCAGAGTTTTATGGCTCCCAGGGAAATTTTCATATCTTCTAATTTGTTTTTAAGAATAGCTGGGTATAGTAGTATTTTTTTTTAAATTGTATGCAAGGGTAGTTAGAAATGTAGGGTATAGATTTCTTCTTCTTGCAGTTAGGCAGATAAAACTGTTGAGTTGAAGCCTAAAGCCATCCTCTAACACAGATACCAAAGTGATAAATTTACTTTATAACATATTTTGCTTTATTGTGAATAACTTTGTTTTCAAAAATTCATCTGTAAACGTTCTTATCATTTAATTTAAAAATAAGGTGCTCAATAAATTGGGGAGGGGCAACACGCTGTAGCATTGGAAGGTTTTTGAAATAATATCATAGGACTAACTTATTTTTAAGGCTTTTGTTAATTCAACAAGTCTTTTAATTCCCTGTGCTCATTCCTGTATGGAAAGTTACATATTCCTAGTCAAATTGGAATCTTTCTTGTTTCCTCTCCCGCTCCTCATTTCTATAGGTACAATATTTTTTTTGATACTAAGTGAATATTAAGAATCTAAAGACATATAAGCTACTTTCTGACAATTACATTTATGTTTTATATTTTGATCAGCCACTTTTTATCTTTAGAGGAATGGAGCTATAAAGTAACTTGAATGTGTAGCACCAGAAAAAGCCTTACAAAAGTAAAAGAAACACATTGTCTTGAGTAAACGAAGCTTCCCCTGAAACTAAAAATAACATGTATTTAAAATGCCTAATGTACAAGATCCAAAATGTTATTTTATGATAGACTGGTTCCAGAAGAAACATAAATTACATAGCTAGATAAATAGTAAGCTAATAGGTTTTATCTCAAAAGGCAACCTTACCTTATTATGACTTACACTTAGGTTATTTTTAATGTATTTGGTTAACATTTGAATATTTTGTGTTTAAGTGCAATTTATTACTCTTGAAATTCCAGAGCCTCTAAAAATTTCAACATGACCAAATGTTAATGTCATTTAGGTTGAGAGTTAATTAATTATAGATATATTCTATATAATCCATGATTTATACTTTTCAGGAAAGTAAAGGTTTGGAATTCCTGCACAATAACTATTTATATAACAAATCACAGAAAGGAGCAACCTTTCCTGAATTCAGCAGTGTTTTCACTAATTCAAATATGTTCCCTCTCTTTTTATTCCATATATTGAATATATTGGTTACAATAACTAAAATGATGTTTGGATGCTTATAGTAGAAAAGCCCCGAATACTAGAGACTTATACAAGGTAGAAGGTTGTTCTTCTCTCAATGAAAAAAGTCCAGGGCAGCAGTCCAAGTCTGGTACAGTAGTTCCTCATTGTCATGTGGAACCCCTGTTCCCACCACTCTGCTCTACCATTCTTTCCCTGACATACTCAGAAGCATCTCCTGGTCTGAGATGGCAACTGGAACCCTAGCCACGAAGTCCATGTTACCACCTGGAAAAAGGAGGAAAGCAGAGGACAAAAAGGGAGCCCTTCTAACTGAGTCAGCTCCCTTTACGCACCTTTCCCAGATTTTCTACACAGGAGTTCCCTTCACAGCTCATTGGTCAGAACTTAGCCATTTGGCTGCACCTAGTTATGATAGAGATAAGGAAGGCGGTTTTAGATTCTCAGCAGGAATAGGCACAGTCGAAAATCAGGATTTTGTTACTAAGGAATGAGGAGAGAATGGATGTTGGGGTAGGCACTGTTACATTGTTTTGTGTTTCTATTATATGCTGAGTCTTGGGGCTACTACATAGAAACTTAAAACACCTCTTTCTGTTTTTGCTATGAGCTATGGTTTCTTAATTTAGAAATCTGGCTTAATTTAGAAATCCTGCTTCTTCTGCAAAGTATCATTTCTTTATTTGGCAATCTTGTCTGACTCTTGTTTTCTTCTTTCCTCTTGCCTTTCAGCTGTTTTGGAAAGAAGTAAGGTTTAGACTTCTCCATGTTAACCATGAGTGTGACACTTTCCCCCCTGAGGTCACAAGACCTGGATCCCATGGCTACTGATGCTTCACCCATGGCCATCAACTTGACACCCACTGTGGAGCAGGGTGGGGGAGAAGAGGCGATGAAGGAAATGGATTCTGACCAGCAGTATGAAAAACCACCCCCACTGCACACAGGGGCCGACTGGAAGATTGTCCTTCACTTACCTGAAATTGAGACCTGGCTCCGGATGACCTCAGAGAGGGTCCGGGACCTGACCCATTCAGTCCAGCAGGACTCAGACAGCAAGCATGTGGATGTGCATCTCGTTCAACTGAAGGTAAGGTTTGTGGGCTCAGGTCCATTCCAGAGAGGAGGCTGGAAAGGCCTGTGGCACCTAGAGCCTGAGTTCTGTCATTCTCATGTGGAAATGTCCAGGAAGAAAGAGAGAAAAACAGGTTTGAAAACATTATCTTTGCAGGTAGACATGGACAGAATTCTCTCCTGATTTTACTTCATGGGCTGAGTGTCTAGAATAAAACTGACCTTAGGGGAGAGTGCAGAAACGTGGGGAGAATAAAAATATTACAAAAGGCTTAATAAATAGATTCTTATAGGTAGCACATCCAACTGAGCTCTGATCGTGAGTGTGCATGTGATTATTATTTTCTGTTGAAGTTAATGCTGCCTTTGTGGCCGACAGTGGAGTCTGGCATGATGGGGCAGGACAGTGTTCTCTTTTTAGAACCAGTCATTTCATCCAGGGATGATGCATCATGAAGAACAAAGTTGCTTTTATAACAGCTAATCTAAAATTCAGACATTGAAAAATTTCTGTGGCTTCCAGAGCTCTTACCAAGCCTGGCTGTTGACAATAGTTAAATGGAGATGCTGTTAAAGAGTGCTGCAACAGAAGTTGCCTAGGGACTTCAAAATGCAGTCAGTCTTACCCTGCCATAACCTTTTCTCTCTTCTAAGTCTCTGAGTGCAATGCATGTTCAGATCAATGATCAGCAAAACAAGGCAGATTTATAACCAATCAGGGAATTGGATCCAACCCCTGATGTAAATTGCTAGTCAGTTAGATGAGATCCCAAGGAGAATTCCTTTACCTAAGCCAGTTCATTCTAAATGATATTGAAACCAAAGACCAAAAAAATTCTTGGCTCTTAACACTTAAATGGCTTGTAGCAGGCAGCCTTCAGGGTGAGAGGAAAGATGAGCAGTTAAGAGAAAGCATGTTCCCCAAAGCCTGGAGCACAGCTGGCTCAGCTTTCTCAGGCTGGCTCAGGGGATTCTGGACCCTGCTGCCCCCTGAGAGAATGTCCAGGAGAGGAAAGGAGGGGGTTGGTGGGGGGAGAGAACGAAAGAGCCAGGATGCCAAGGTGACTGGGCTTCTCACAGGCTCTTGAAAAGAAGGCACAAAAGGGTAACAGAGAAATGGCTAGGAACCAGCTTCCGTGGAATGCAGGCCTGGCTGGCTTCCCACTGTGGCAGCAGGGAGGAATGTGTCTCAGCCCTTGGAACACAGCTCCTTTAATTAAAGGAGCAGCTCCCCGGCAACATGAGGCTGGAGTGAAACGGAAGTCGGGGGCTCTACTTCACCCCTCGCCTCTGTTTCCTCTAATGCTACCCTTCCATGTGGTTCCCATAAGTAAGTACAGGGTTGGGTTTGTAAGAAAAGTTAACTGCTGCTCTCCAAAATCTTTGAGTTTCACAAAAAAGTACTACATGATAAAGGAGAATGGGGAGAAAATGGAAATCTCTTTAGAAGACTCCACTAAAATTGCTACAAAGAGCTCCTAGGAGCATTAATGTGTCAATTTACTTCATTTAACCACTTCAATAATACTGAAGTGAAAATTAAAACTTTAATTCCAGATAGGAATGTAAAATTTTTGAACAGTCAACCAAGTTTATATTTAGTGTTTGAGAAATCATCTCCAGGGTGATTTGCTTATCTTTTTACATTGGAACTGCCTGTCGCCTTCCACCTCAGTCAAAAAGCCTCTCACACCTGCCTCCAGCCAGCTCTGTCTCGGTGTGGTCTGTCTCCTCAGCTGAGAAAAACCCACCGGGAAGTTAGGAAGTCAAGAAAATAATCACATGGTAGTAATCAATACTGAAAGGGATGAACTGAAATTGCCTTATGTTAATTTAATTCCAGGGTTTCTATTAATACTTTCTTGACACTTATTTTATCAAGTGATTTAACAACCAACGTTCTCTTGTAATGTTCTCAAATATTCTGCAATAACAGAGCCCAAAGTCAACAACTCTGGTCTGTGAATTGTGGCCACCTCTAAACTAGGGTCTAGTTTTGGTCTCCTAACCTGTTTAAAGTTTATCCTTTATTTGTATAATATTTCTTTACTCAACCAAATAAGCACTTCAGTGCATTCTTGTAAAAAAAAGGATTTTAAATACATGTCAGTTTTTCAGATTTCCACATTGATCCACATGAAAAAAAGTGGGAATTGGGCAGTGTTTTACATAAAAAAGCACAACAAAATCTGACAGAAGCACTCAGCTGAGGTACATGGCAAAGCAGAGGGGCAGGCCCAGCCTGGGTAAGGCCAGCCATCTGCACGGGGTGTCCCAGCTTGGTTCCCCCTGCCTCGGTGTAAATTTATTAATTCACAATAAAAACAACTGTCACCAGGATGGGAATGCCATGGCTTTAAGGAACCATTTAGGCACAGATAATTTCTGAATGTATATACAGGGCATTCACTCCAGTCTTCTCCCAGAAGCCCCAGCTGCCTAACTGACATTTCTACTTGTATCTTGAGTGAGCATCTCAGACCTGATATTCCCATCAGAAAATGCTTAATCTGCTCTGGCTGGGTGGCTCAGTGGGTAGGAGCATCATCTAGTACACCAAAAGGTTGTGGATTCCCTGCTCCGTCAGAACACATACCTAGGTTTCGGGTTCAATCCCCCATCGGGGCACATACGGGAGACTACAGATGCATATTTCTCACGTTGATGCTTCTGTCTTTCAAATTAGTAAACATGTCTTTAGGTGAGGATTTAGAAAATAAAACCAAAAAAACCCTTTTAATTCCCCCTCCTCTTGCCTCCCCCACTCAGTCTTCCGAATTTCAGTGAAAGACATGATGCTTTGCCAAACCGAAGTGTGATTCCCCACCCTGCATATCTGTCTGTTAACAAGTTCTGGTGATTTGTCTCCAAAATGTGCCCCAAAACACGCCCCAAAGCCATTCCCTCTCCCCAGCACTACTGCTGCGGCAGCCCTCGTCAAACCCCATCCCTGCCGCTTCGGCTCATTTTGGAGGCCCTCTACCAGCCGGCACTTTACTCCCACCCCCTAGCCAATGGGATCTTTTAAAAATGTAAATCAGTTCATGTAACTCCCTTGCTTCCTAGTAGCTTTTAATAAAACCCAAATCTCTTTCTGTGGCTCTGCCTCTGCTAGCTCCTCCGGCCATGTTTCCTGTTACTTTCCCCTTATTCATAAAGCTTCAGGCACATTGGAAATTCCAAAGAAATGGTAGGCTAGTTCTTGTCATAGCTTTTCCTGTTCCCTCTGCCTAGAAACTCTCTTCAATCTTCATCTGACAGATTCTGGAGGTGCATCAGGCAGCCAACTGGAGGTGCAGCCAAGTTCGAACAAGTAGAAGCACAAGCCTGGGAGAGAGGGTTGGAGTGAGGTGGGGCCTTTGCTGTGTTTCCGAAGAACGAGGAGAACAAAAAAGGAGCTCCTCTTACCTAACTTGTCTGCAGGCCTCACATGCCCTTTCACATTGTTCGCTCTGTCTTAATCATTATAATCTTCTCTACCATTGTGCTGAGGTATAACTTAGAAAAAAAATAGTTGAAAAATGCTGTTAAAAATAAAATTCGACTGAGTAAATTTAAAGATCTGTTTGATTTTATTCAATGATTTCATGAATCAGGTAGCATCCCATATAACACAAAGAAAGGAGCTCCAAGGGCAGCTTTTTAGAGGCAGAAAGGGAGGAGGGCCAGGGTCCGAGTGGACTGTTGCAGGCAAAGGCCCTTCACTTTACAGGGTAAAATGGGTCTATCTAGTGCTGAACAGGAAATTCCAGACTGACTAAGATTACATTCCTGAGAAAAGCTGCAACTGCAATTAGGTTAGGTATTATTAAGTCTCAGGTGGTGACATGAGACTTAGCACAAGTAAGTCCATTATAGGCCTGTTTGTGTGTGTCTCTCTCTCTCTTTTTTTTTTTTTAACAATGCTTTTGGAAAATGCTCAGGGTAGGGTCAGCTTCTGGTTTTATATTAAATGTTACTTTCAAAAGAGCTATTCCTAATCCCTATTCTTAAAACACCCATTCCCTTCCCCCACAATTATCTAGACCGTTTTTCAGCTTACTTCGTGTAAGTGTTCTTATTACTAGCTGCAATTATCTTGTTTATTTGTTACTTGTTTGCGTTTGCTCCAAGACCTCAACTGTTTTAATTCTCCACTGTATCTCTGTTGCTTAGGACAAGGGCCCTGCTTGGTCGGGGCTCAGTTCATATCTGTGGTCGGATAGATGAGTCCAAGCTTATACGGTCAGTGCCTTCTCTCTCTATACACAGGTTTGCACCATATGCCACATAAGAAAGGCTACTTGGTGAGGATTGAATTAGGACAAAGGTCCAAGTTCATTAGGAGCATTGCTGTTTCGTCAGGGAGAGTCTGTGGGTGGTTCAGAAGTCTTGGAGATCTTGCCTGGGGAGCCTGCCTGTAGGTATCTGTGCCTAGTCTTTCTTCCACCCCCGCCCTCCTTTCTGTTTGACTCCTTCTTTAGTAAGGATTTTAGTGAACTCTGAGGTCTTCTAGACCTAGAGGCACTCTTTGTCTTTGAAGGTAACTTTGTCTTGGACATTATGTTGATCTTAAAATTTATTTATCAGAGACCACTCTTATCAGCTTTATTTCCAAGTTCTTAGGGGAAGTTTTTTGTAACTCCTAGGATGAACTATATAAACCACTATTAAAATATCCCCATGTTAGGGGTGGTGGGGATTGATTGTTCTAGAGAGTGAGTAAAAACATCTACCCTTAAGATTAAAGCATGGAAACAGTGCAATATATTATACTGTGTAGTTTCTTCCATTATTTCTAAAACTGAAAATGTAATCCACATATTTTGCTTTTGCTTCCAGATATTTAGTGAAGAAGTGCAAGAACTAGCTGAACCATTTTTAGAAACTCTGCCTCTCCTCCTCCCTTGTCCTCCTTTAGATTCGGAGATGGTGATGTGCATGAAAATCAGAGCAAGAACCTTAAAAGATTTTGATTTTTGCTGAGACTTCTGGTCTGGATGAATGTATCTGGGTGTTAAATAGGCAAATTAGACA